GGTAACTGGACGAGAAGCCGACTGTGAACTGCTAACTGTGAACTCTGTCAAGGCCACGCGCCCGGGACCAGTCGTCGGGGTGTCATGTGCCAGATACTCCTTTCTTCAGGAGGTCTCATGCCCGTATCGTCATTTTGAGGTATTTAATTCGTGTTTTCCCCCTTTTTCATTCTGTGGGAGGAGGTTGTGTGAAGACTGAGGTGCTTGTTTTGTGGTGTGATCCATCGTTGATTTCGTTGTCGTGTTGTTAGATTTCAAATGGTTTGGAATATGAAAAAAATGCTCTTCGATCTTCGATCCGCCTTCGAGTCGTGTGATGTGTAGCGCGAGGGTCAAATCATGCTTCCGTGAAATCCGCAGTCGGGAAGTTTAAGGCCTCCATACCCAGCTCTACATTTCCGATATCCATTTTTTGTTTTGAGTTGTTTGTCTAAAATGTGCACAAACTACAAGTGTGTTCAGATGATGAGCTAAATATAGGCAACGACATTAGTATTCTTGTCATAATGGATTGAACATCATGTGAGCAACGGTTGCCACTTGCCGGCTGAGGAATGCATTCTGCTTGCTAAAACATTTTGAACAATTTTATTTGAAATAATCCCATTGCCTATTTATCGCTTTAGTCTTTGAAGGAGATGGTGATAGTTATACTGAATTAGGATATAAATTGTTTTAACCATTCCTTAAAAGCTTTTTACGATAAACATATCTTGTGCTTGTTGCTATGTTGAGTGTTTTTGTGTGTGTGTAAATGATGCTTTTACCATTATACTGTAAAATCAACCTAGGAACGGATTAATGATGATAACAGTAACATTGATGATTGTGAGAGGAACTTTTATCAAATGATTATGATATCATGGCAATGAGAACAGAAATAGTAATGATTAGCGCACAAATAGATTTTCTCCCCCCCCCCCTCTCTCTCTCTCTCTCTCTCTCTCTCTCTCTCTCTCTCTCTCTCTCTCTCTCTCTCTCTCTCTCTTTCTCTCTTTTTTCCCTTTCTCTCTCTCTCTCTTGCTTCCTCCTCTCTCTCCCTCTTTTCCTCTCTCTCTCTCTCTCTCTCTCTCTTCCTCTCTCTTCCTCTTTTCCTCTCTCTCCCTCCTTCCTCTCTCTCCTTATCTCTCCTTCTCTCTCTCTCTCTCTCTCTCTCTCTCCTCTCTCTCTCTCTCTCTCTCTCTCTCTCTCTCTCTCTCTCTCTCTCTCTCTCTCTCTCTCTCCTCCCTCCCTCCCTCTCTCTCTCTCTCTCCCTCTCTCTCTCTCCCTCTCTCTTCCCCCCCCCCCTCTCTCTCTCTCTCGTGGATGATTTATGCTAAATTAAGAAAATAAAAAAAGAAAACCCACGATTACGCCGAAGGCCACCAGCTCGCCTCTTCGTTTGTTTTATTCACACCTACGCATGCAGTTGCACACACGCGACCACAAGCATACGTACATGCATGCATTCACAGTACATACACACGTATACATGTGCGGGCGTTATGTTTATATATATGTTTATGTATATATATAGATACGTGTATGTGTCCTCCTACACATGAAGATTCAGCAAAGCATATTAATAAAAAGTGCAATAGATAATGAAAGGCAATGAAAGAGCAAGCGACTGAGAGAGAGAGAGATAGGAGCAGCGAGAAAGTGAAAGACAGACACGGGATGTAAATACATACACAGAGATGCTATCTCTGGGTAATTTTTTTTTCATATGATAATAAGTAAAGTAAATAATAGGTAAAGGCCATTGCATCTACTTAAAACCATTTTCATTATCATTAGTATTGGTGTTATAGCCATCAGTATCATTATATTAACACCACTGTTATCGCTGTCGTTACTGTATTATTACTATCATTAATATTATAAATGTGTCTTTCTTTTCATCAGTACCGTTATCATTATTAACATCACGTCATTGATATTATTATTATTATCATTATCATTATTGTTATTAATCTTTCATTAATAATAATATTATTATTAATAGTATTATAATTATTATCATTATTATTATCATAACTTGTATTATTATCACAGTTATTATGATTATTATTATCATTATTGTTATTATCAATATTATCACTTCCATAGTTATTAGTATTGTTTTCATTATTTTCATTACTATTGTTATTATCATTATTATTAAATTAACACCTAAATATGTCGTACTTGAGTATAAATAGTGGAGCTTCTCTGAAGGCAAAGTTGTGCTTTATTATCATTGTCATCATTATTATCATTATTAATATTATTATTATTATTATTATTATTATTATTGTTATTATTATTATCATTTTCATTGCCATTATTACTATTATTATCATTATGATCATCATCATCATCATCATCATTATCATTATCATTATTATTATCCTTATACTTATCATTATTACTATTACTATGATCATCATTACTATTATTGTTATTATTATGATTATTATCACGATCACTGTTATCACTATCTTTTTTATCATTATCATTATCATTGTCATTATCATTATCAGTACCAGCATTTGTATCATTATCATAATTAGTACTATTATTATCATTTATATTATCATTATTATCGGCTTTACTGTTATCCTCCTCGTTTTCATGATGGTGATGATCAATAATGGCATAGACACGGATTTCGATATATATTTGTACTGAGATCACAAGTTTTGTTTAAGAAATAAAACGTGGTTAGCTAACACGTACCTGGGAATTTAACTAAAAAAAAAAACGAGAATCGCTTGAGTTGGCGACGAAAGAAAGATATTTAGATTAACATTGAAATAACCGTCTTCAGCACATTCATATTTCCGTGACAAATGACAAACTGACATGGGTGAGTGGATGTGATTTCAGTATAGTCTATGTTGTCATATTTAGCTGACGGAATGGAAGGGATGTTATATGGAATGACATTAATTTGCATGTCATTCTTGTCTATACTTTTGATCTCCATCTCGTTCTATCTTTAGACAAGTGACGTTGATGTCATATGGAGTGACACTGATAATGCCTGTCATGCTGGCATACACCGTCTCCCTGCATGTGATTTCGTCAGCAAACTACATCAGAATCTTATCACATTCCCTACATTTTTATTACATTGCAGTGGAAATCATCCCCCGACACTTCACTGCATATTAACGGTGACAGTGACATCGCATGGAATAACACTGCTATTACTAGTTAATACTCGGGTAAAGCATGGAAATGTAAAAAAAAAAAAACGAAATTCTAAATGCTTCAGTATCTATGTGGCATGACTGTCATACTGTTTGTAAAAAAAAAAAAAAAAAAAAAAATATATATATATATATATATATATATATATATATATATATATATATATATATATATATATATGAATAAGATACAGAGAATATATTTAATTTCTAATGATAGGGAACAGTGTCATTCCATATCAATATAACCATCATTTTCGTAAATGTTGAATGGAATGACAGGTACCCACAATGGCTATGAAATTCCTTCAGTTTACTTAATATGGACCAAAATATCTTCTAAATTAGCCCAATGTATTTACCTTGACCTTCAGTATGTTACTGAATCTCCAATGTTACAGCAGAATAATTGATAATTCAGTGAGATTTAAGCAGGTCTTTTTTTTTCTAATCAGTTCCTATAACATTTATCATACTAATGTTTCATCTAAGTGCCAAACGTAATCTCAAACGTAAAATAAAACAAAATAAGACAGCTTCTCCTTATTTTACAAGACTCAAAGAAAACGGGCTTCATTATTATAACAGAAAACGTAGAATTTAAGGGGAGACAATTTTTAAAAGATTGGTAGATGACTTCTGTGGGAGGGTATAATAACACGTATATATATATATGAATAAGATACAGAGAATATATTTAATTTCTAATGATAGGGAACAGTGTCATTCCATATCAATATAACCATCATTTTCGTAAATGTTGAATGGAATGACAGGTACCCACAATGGCTATGATATTCCTTCAATTTACTTAGTATGGACCAAAATATCTTCTAAATTACCCCATTGTATTTACTTTGACCTTCATTATGTTACTGAATCTCCAATATTACAGCAGAATAATTGATAATTCAGTGAGATTTAAGCAGGTCTTTTTTTTCTTTTCTTTTCTAATCAGTTCCTATAACATCTATCATACTAATGTTTCATCTAAGTGTCAAACGTAATCTTAAACGTAAAATTTAACAAAATAAGACAGCTTCTCCTTATTTTACAAGACTCAAAGAAAACGAGCTACATTATTATAACAGAAAACGTAGGATTTAAGGGGAAACTATTTTTAAAAGATTGGTAGATGACTTCTGTGGGAGGGTATAATAACACGTTGGTGAATTGTGTAAATATCAGATAATTACATTGTTACGTTAAAAAATCACCTTAGAAAATGAATGAGCGTACGATGATAAAAGAGTAGATTTATCATGCACCCGGATTCACGTTACAGATAGATGGATAGATTGGTAGATTGATAGATAGACAAGTAGATAGATATGTACATCATATATATATACATATATATATATATATATATATATATATATATATATATATATATATATATACGTGTGTGTGTGTGTGTGTGTGTGTGTATACATATTTATATATTTGTTTGTGTGTGCGTGTATATGTATATATATATATGTGTGTGTGTGTGTATATATATTATGCATATATATATTATATATATAGATTTATAGATATGTGTGAGTATGTATATATATATTTTTTTGTTGGTTTTGTTGGTTTTTGCTCTGTTGCTATTGGTATATATATTGGCGTGTCTAGATGTTATGTTGTGGTAGCGTGAAGCATCTAGGCACAAACAAACAAGCAAACAAAGGAAAAAAAAAGGACCGAGCATAATCATCAACTCCTTGACGTTCAGCCTATGAGTTTACTGTTTATGCAGACTAGAAATTGTTTAGCTTTTATTTATAATTACCATAGAGGGCAAAGTAACATGCTTAAGTGCGCTCTCGACAACATTTATGTTTTATAAAATAAATGCAGAACATTGGTTAAATCCACTCCTTACGAGTCTTAACCCATTCTCCCCATGTAGCAAGAATACATGCCATGCCCACTGTAATACACGTTTATTTATTGTATTTACACATAGATG